TATTATTTCTATATAAATAATATCATATACACAACAAATGTCAAGTCTTCAGCTTTCAATAAAAGCCACAGTAATTCCACTTTACCCTCCGACTGGCCTTCCACCAAGCGTGTGCAGAAAATCTTAACATTTCATAAGGCAAGCTTAAAAATACAAAATGTCTGCTTTCCGTTTATACAAACATTCCACATATTGTATTCAAAAACCAATATACTTTTCTGTCACTTCCTGAGCGGGTATAAAAATAAATATACTTATTGTACAATATATACATACATATTCATATGGGATATATGTAAAGGAGGTAAGCTGTAGCAAGAGGTCAAAACGAAATGAAAATTTCCATTTCAGTGCCAAGGAAATTGCGTTAAAATGATGAAGCAGCCAAAGCCGCAGCAGCAGCAGCTGAACGCACACACACTCACACACATACACACACTCGCTCACACATGCGCATCCTTGTGCCGCCTTGTTAAAGCCAATTCGAACTCTGGCATAAACTTTACATAAATCAAGCCAATCGAGCCAATTGTGCGCTGCACTCATTAAAATATGTGAGCAGTAGGAACAAAAGAAACAAACGTATCGAATGCAGAGGCTTAACTAAATTTAATTGCTGACCCAATTGACTGCTGCAGCAGCGCCTCCTGTCGGCCGAAAAGCGAAAGAGGGATAAAACTAATTAATAACATAAAATAAAGGCAACAACAACAACAGAAGCGAATTATCAATGGAAAGTCGGGCGCACGCTTCAAGTGCTCGCCCAAGTACTTGCCTATTTTTTCAATGCTCGCTGGTGGGCGTGGCTGGGGTCTGGCTGACGCACTTGAAATGCGCAAATGTAAAATTAATGGCATACTTGACTTGATGCTTTTCTAATTAGAAATGCATATATAACAAAAATCGTAGCATACATTTCAGCTGCAGCTTCAGCTTCAGCTCAGCTCAGCTCAGCCCTAAAAAGCGCTTAAAACAGAGCACTCGACTCGACTACTTCAGCTAGCACTTAACACTTTGCCAGCGCGCACACATACAGACACCGACTCACACACACACACACAGTTATAGCTACAGCAAAAGAGAATCAGCTAAAGTAATTGAAGTGGCTTTGCACGTGCGCTGAGGAGTTCAGCTCAAGCGGAATCCATCGTGGACACAGAAAACTTGACAGCAAAAATTATCTGTGGGGGGTTGGCAGGCGGCTAAGGGTGTTAGCAGTTAGCGATGAGCGCGTGACACGAATAACAGGACGACAAACATCAATTTAAACACCAAATGCTAAAGAGTTGCCTTGAAGCAGTTATCAAATCTCTGAGCAGCTAGAGATGTGCGCGTGACACGAATTGCAGCAACGGTATGAACATCAATTTAAAGAGACACGAACTGTGGCAGCGATTCAAGTGTTTTCATATTTCAGTTTATCCTTTCTATTAAATAGGCAATTGGGATCTAAGCCAGCTAGAGATGTGTACGTGACACGAATTCGGAAGCAATGCAGCCGAAAATGAATAATAGGAAACAGCAGGTAAAATAAGCATTAAATACGTATTCAAAATATTGTAGAAATCCCAGCAGTTAGTGCTGCGAGCGTGACACGAATAAGACACGAAATTAATTTACTTACTACAGGTTACATTTCTCTAATTGCATATTTTTGTTGTTAGTTCAGTTTAATAATAAATACCTACAACAACAAAAGCACATTTATTCCATACTTTTTAATATTTATTCAAATTTTTTCCACCTATTAACCTAACATTAAAAATCTATTAAAGTTATACGTTTTTGATACACCCTAGTACTTTACACTTAAAGACAATTTTACTTTTATTGAAATGCTAATTAGCAAAGTTATTTAACTATTACTTAAATATTTAACATGAGGTTTAATAAATAATTTATTGAACTATATTAATATATTAAACTTAGTCGCTTTTAAATCACTAATAATAGGATACAAATATTTAGATCTACGACTTTTCTTACTTTTATTTCTTCATTATTATTATCATTATTTACATTTCGATTTTACACACGAAAAGAAAAAAAGTTAAATCAAGTAAATTTATTAAATTAATTGGTTGAAAATGTGTTTTTATAAGAAATCAAAAGTAAAATATTAAAGAAATATTACTGTAAATTTTAACATAAATTAAGTCCAGAAATTTTAGTTATAGTAATCAAACTAGGGTATCAAAACTCTCAACTTTGCAAAACACATAAATTAGATATTTAACCTGAGTTGCTCTTTATTTAAACTAAGTAGTTGGATTTTCTCTTTTTAGTCATTTCTGCAGTCTAGAAACTAATGATAACGACGTAAACCATCTCCACGATTTGGTGTATTCAACTGGGGAACCCCATAGATAAAGGACTCCTCCCTAGAGGGCGGACGCTGTGAATATGTACGTTCTGCAAAAATAAGTGCAAAATGAATTAGCGAAGTCAAATACGACAGACGTGGAGCAGAGACTAACCATCAAATGAAGAATTCCGTGGTGAGCCGCGGCTTGAGAAGCTAAGCGAATCCAAATTATCCTTTGACTTCTGGAAAACTGTGAGAAGAATGTGAAAAGTGGAATAATTAATCAGAAGGCGAAATGAAGTAGGTATGAAAGACATAGAAGATAGCAAATATGTGCAATAAGAGGTCAAGGGACTATAATATAGAATATATTGAAAATAATATAGAAATGAATGAAATGGTGAGAGATCTAGCAGAATAGAAAATCTAATGAGATGAAGAATATAGAAAATAGATAACTATGAAATAAGAAAGGATGGAAGATTTAACATAGAGCTATATTTTCGGAATACCAACTAGAAGTTAAGCAAAGAGGATATTTAGAAATAATATATACAAAATAGAAGCTTCAACCTTTTATATAACATAATATAGTAAGCAATTCATTTAGCATGATAGCTATTTAATATAACTTAAATTTTCTGTACTATATTTTTACTAAAGTCCGAAATGGCCCGCTTTAAACACTTGCAAGACTTTGTTGTCGGTAATTAGTAAAGCGTTCCTTGGGCATGAAAAATGAGCGTGAAGGCCAACAAAAAGCAGGCAGCGTTTTTGGCAACACAAAACACACACACAACAAATAATTTAGCTATTAAAATTAGTGTAAAAATTACGTGCGGATGGCCGCGAAAGAAACGTGCAAATAAAGCAGAAGAGGGAGAGAGAGAGAGAAAGGGAGAGACAGAGGCGTAAAGGGAACTGTGTGTGCTGGACGTTGGGCAACTTGCTGAGCTCGCCAAGTGCTCATTAGAGGCAGGAGGCGTGCCCAGGGACAGGACAGGGTGTGCGCCACAAATCTTAAGTAATTAGACTAATTTTGTAATTAAGGTAATTTGAGTGCTGCCAAGTTGTGGCCCAATGCTGATAAAATGCTAAAGAACCGCAACGCGCTTATCACACTACATAAACAACAAATGCTTTAAAAGTCAAAAACGTAATAAAATTTACAGATTTCCTACAGCCAGCACTTAAACTACCTGTTAAAATTCATTTATTAGGGTCAAAATTTTGTAATTCACTTTGTAAAATGAATGTAAAAATTTGATAATGAAAATATTTCAACTAGTTGTTAAAGGTAATACTAGGTAGAAGGGCAAAACGTGAGTATAGAAGTATATACATGAGTATATATAAAGCGCAAGCAAATGTTAAAGTGCATGTTAAAAGCTAGACGATCTGCTGACAGATCTGAGAGTTCGTGTTAAATTCCATGCTAAAGTTAATCATTTAATTAAGGGCAGCTCTGAATGAATCTTAAAGCAAAACTAAGCCTTAAATCTAAATGGAATATTTACAGCCAGGTGGAAAATCGAAAACTACATGTTAAACTACATGTTAGACACAACAATTTGATTTATAGCAGTTGCCAATACGTTTTATGGCAATCGATGACACCTTAAAGTCAGACTTGTGCCATATTGGCCGGATTGTGATTGTGATTGCATTTGAAAGCCAATTGATTTGCAAACGCATGCAGGCTGTAATTTATGCCAGCCAATAGGCTTGATTAGTATGCTGGCTTTCACTGGAAACGGGGTCAAACGGTAGACTTCTAGTTCAGAGCAGTCGAGTATCGAGTATCGATAGCGAACGCCAAGTATTTATAGCCACACACTCTCTCAAGTGAATACAATTTGCAATCACATCACGCCCAACCGAACCCAGCAGCAGCAGCAGCAAAAAACTAAAGCCGATAGACGGCCAGAGAGAAAGATGAAAGAAAAAAAATGAAAATAACTTAGAAATGAAAGCAGAAAAAGCAAATGGAAGCAAAAAAAAAAAAAAACAGCCAGCTGAAAAATCAAAGTTTAAGTCATAAATAAGAAATTTTTGTATGTGGCTCTGCTGCAGCGAAAACTGATGATGATGATGATAGCGGAGAGAAGACTGCGGCCTGTTATCGCTACCCACAAAAAGTTTTTGGTATTCATGCACGAAATGACTAAAAACTTAAAACTAATAGAGAGAAGTGTAGCAAAAGTTGGGCCACTGCCTTAGGGGCAGATGCTGATGCTGCTACTGCTGCTGCTGCTACTGCTGCTGCTGCTGCCTCTACGGCTGCTGCTGATGCTGCACTCAAAATTATTAATTAAACTTACCCTCGGAGTTGACTTGCGTGACGCCCTGCGTCTGGAAGAACGATATGTATACTGCAAAGATAAAGAGCACAGCGAAAAGGATACTTAGAAATAAAAACTAAAACAACTAAGATTGAACTAATCGAACTGGGCCGACTAGGTGATGCTCTATAAGGAGCGTAGATATCCCGTTAAAGTTAGAGATTATGATTATCCTAATTTAAGCACTACCTTTAGATTAGTATGTCAAGCAATCTAGAGTATCTAAGTAGGAAATACCCTAAATAAATTCCTGTTACGCGAATCAGTTTTCTAGAGAGTGCCCGAATAGAAAATACCCAACAATCTGTTCTTTCAATTATTTTTGGATTTTTGTAAACAGATATTGACTCAGTAAATTGATAATACTGATAACAAACCCATATCAATTGTTATCGATTGATATGGGCTCGATAGAGTTATCGAAAATTAAGACTTTTCTATGCAACGCATAACACTCTTTTCTAACCAACCTATATCCATAAATATTCTAGCTTTTTACAGGAGAATTACAAGAATCGAAAATAACAATTTCATGATTATCGATAACTGCAATACCTGCTGAATTATAGTTAGGAAAATTGAAGCACAGTTTTGTGAAAGTGATTCAGGCAGATTTCAAGAATAACTATAACAAACGGACAGCTACAACTGTTGTCTGTTACAAACATGTTTACAAAAGCAATATACCCTAATTCTAATTTTTCAATGAGTTTAGGGTACTACAAAAAAATATGCTGCCGGCAATAAATATATGTATTATAGTGCATATATATACACACATATATATAGAAAATAGCTACATATATGTAGCTTGCAATTAATCAAGTTGCAAGTGGCTGTTGTTGATACTTTCTTTTCCTTTTGTTGTTTCGTGTGTCTACGCAGGGTGTCTGGCAGGCGGGGAGGGCGGAGGCAGGAGCAGAAGGAGAGTAGGAAAAGTTGCTGGTTATCAGCTTTGCGGTTGGCAAGCGAACAAGGTAAACCCTGGTTAAGTTTTGTTAGCCACAGTTACCTTTGCTTCACTTTTGTTTCCCTTTCTATGCGCGCTCTCTCTCTCTCTCTCCCTCACTCCCTAACTCCCCTCTGCCACATTTTGGCTCCTTTTTTATTGGGTGTAAAGTGTTTTCGTTGCGATAACACCCGAGCGTCCGTACGTCCGTACTGTCCGTCTGTAGCCGAATAGACAACATTGAAAAATGGCAAACACGGCGACTTCCAAGGCCTGCCCCCTCCCCCCACCACCTTCGAAAAACCAAAACTTTTGCGGACAGAACTTGGCCACGCCCTCGCCACCGCCCACGCACAGCTGGAGTTCATTCGGTCTGCACAGCTGCGTGTAAAAATGCAAGCAAAAATGGCAAAGTTTAACGAAGCGTTGTCCCAAAACGCAGCTCCCATGAAGCGTCACTAAAAAGGACTGCGTCAAAGGATAGCGCCGCCAAGGCTGGCCTGGACTTAAGCTGCGTGCTGCAGGTAGAGCAAGTGGCAACAACAACACCAATAGCAACTACAAGTAGTAATAATGTTGACACTGTGTGCATTCCCAACTGCTCAATGCTCGCTCAGAGGCCATCTGACTTTTATGTCATTTATAGATCTATTTCTGGATTAGGTCAACTGTGTGCCAAGAGCAAAAACTTGTTGAGTCTAGCTCTGAAAGTGCACAGGATATCTATATAAGGCGCCCTCTAGCGGCAGAATCTACAATTTTTTAACAGAGCTACAACAATCTATGCTAAGCATTTAAAACTCACATACAATATGAACATTCTTATTATAATACATAAATCCCTCTCCTCTTATATGTAGATAATCTTCCCCCAGCTGCATGTAGGTCATCATAAGTAGAAATGTTTTCTCTCCAGCTTCAATCGCCTACAAACACATACACGAAACCAATATACTCTCTTTCTACCACCTGAGCGAGTATCTCTCAAAAAAAGGGAAGCCAGGTACGCAGCGCGCTGTTCAGCTTGATTAAAGATTCATGGAATTTGCGATTAACGGCAAACAACGACACCCAGAGCCGAGTCTTGGGTCAGCTTCCCAGCAGCTCTTATGATTTATGAGCCTTTGGCCCGAGCCTTCACTCTCTTAGCTCAGCTTGCATGATTTATGCAACAATTGAATATATTAATATATGAATTTACTTAGGCGTAGATACGGCTATTGGGCATATGGTACTTACTCCAGATCGATATGATGACTATGGCGCTTGTTGTAATAATGAAGCCCAGATTCTGGATAAGATGCTGAATCAGTGGGCCGCCGAGACGTCCATCGCACTTCTGGCCGACGCTGGTGTCGCCCACAATGGGCACCTGCAATGACAGTAAGCAAACATAAGGGTTAAAGCAATGCAGAAGGAGAAAGAATAGCTAGAATAGAAAAAAAACGGAATAAAAACTTTTGCTGAAGCAAATGGGATTTGCAACTTTTTAGTTTGTTTGAAGTCCTTGTGGACGCACGCACACAAAATTTATAAATAAAATGTGCAGAGACAGCGAGAGCGAGAGCGAGAGAGAGAGAGACAGATAGAGAGAATTAGTGACCAAACTGAAAGCCACATAAAAAGGGAAATAAAATACCATAAAGAAAACGCATTGAAATCAATTATAAGCAATTGTAACAACTTTTTGCCAGCTGAACAACTGCAACAGTTGCAACCGCAAACTGCAACAGCAACTGCAACTGCATTTGCCACTGCTGCAACTGGGCTTTCAATTGACATTCATGGAATGCACTTATCATTCGCAATGCATTTCCTATATGTAGCAAGTTAAGCCCTTGGGACCAGGCACAATTTCAGAATAAATAACCAACATGATAAAAACAACAAAAAGTGGACATTCGACTATCAAATAATTTAGCATTTAGTGCTGAAGGGCTTTCATTACCAGCTGACTGCTCAGCAGAAGTTGATCCCAAAGTATTTGATGTAAGCTGCATTCCCAACTGTAAATTGCAGCTGAGGATAGTTGTTAAGTTCAAAGAGAGTTGAGTTGGGACAGATGCCTCATACTTGCTACCAAAGGCAGACGGATAGAAATATAAATAATTGAGAAAATTGTGTCAAGTTTTATCTAAATTTGAAAAGATTTGCTTTATATGTAACTATATAAAATTAAATGTTACAAATTAAAGATCCATTGACAAAATACAATACTATTTTATATAATTATATT